GAGAGAGAGAGAGAGAGAGAGAGAGAGAGAGAGAGAGAGAGAGAGAGAGAGAGAGAGAGAGCGAGCAAGAGAGGGAAAAAGAAAGAGATAGAGAGACGAATTATCCCGCGTATTTTAGCACTTCTAAGACTGGCTGCTTGCCTGATACAATATCTTCTAAGCGGTGACGACAGTTCAAAGAATGTAATGTAATTTGTGAATGCGAGCGACAATAAACGAGTGCGATTATGCGATCATCGTCATAGTCTTCGTCATCATCATCATCATAATCATCGTTGTCGTCGTCATCATCGCCATCATCGCCATCATCATCATCATCATCATCATCATCAACATCATCAACATCATCATCATCTACGATGCAAATGATGTCCCATTATGTTTTGGTTAAGCGGAAACCGTCAGCACGCTGTCACGTGAAGCGCTGTTTTGTTTGTGAACGTTCACAGCCACCTCTCGTCTCTCGGCAATCAAGATAGCTTAGAGCTTGCACTGTGGTGACCTTTTCACTGCGTCAATCTTTTAATACCACTCGCTCCTATCTGTGACAGCTTGGCCTTTAAACGTGGCAGCACTAGTCAGCACCCTTCAAATTGCGCGCACCAGTGTCATCGAAATGCTTGACATTTGCCGCACACGGTGGCGCCACTGTCCAATAAAATGCAACAGCGCCGCGTATTTACCTTCACTACCGACTCCAAACTGCATGCAGTGCCCCTTCGCTCACTCAGGATAATACCACTGCCACAATGCTGGCACTATTTTTAAAGTGGGCCGAGCTCGGGGGAAATCCAGCGAATGGAGATTCGTAAACAGCGTATGATTTGAAAGAGGTAAATGGGCGCACAATCCGCGCACTATTTCGTGTCACTATTTTATCAAATTTTTCATGAAATAATGGTCCGACTTTTATTATCTTTGCAGCTTTTATAAGTACACACCTTATTACATAGGACAGGAGTAACGGGGTCGCTGTAAACCTTATAGTAAAAAAGCGTAAGAAATTCTTACGGAAATCAGCTTGTGGCAGTGGTAGAATTGAGCCAGAGCGAGAGCGCCATCTGTCGTGGAGTTTGATTGAGCCAGAGCGAGAGCGCCATCTGTCGTGGAGTTTGCACCGACTCAGCGAGTAGCCGCTAGCTGCGTAATACTCATAGGGTCTATGTCCCCTAGGGTACTGCCGGAAGGTACCCTGGGTACGGTCCGGTACCTTGGTAACTATTTGATATGGTTAGGGTTAGGGTTACCTAGGGAGTAGGCGTAGGCGACTCCCTAGACTCGTTAATGGAGTAGGCGAGGTACGGTCCAGCATATTAGATAGTACCAGGGTACGTTCCGGTATACCGGACCGTACCCAGGGTACGTTCCGGCAGTAGTACCCTGGGGGACATAGACCCTCTCCGCCTAAGGCATATGCACACACAAGAGTGCTTACTGACCTACATTGGTGCCGACAACAGCTGATGACAGGCGGCCGCTGGCAAATGGATCCTTCACAGCCACGACGTTCACACATTTCAGTCAATAATACTCACTCCACCGATAACCGGCCCGCGTTAATGCTGTATAATATGCTGTATATAATACCGGAAATCCGAATACGTCACACCGCTGGCAGTCATTTTAGATCTGGTTGTCGGTGCGTGCTAACTAACGCCGTCATATACACAGGCACTTGGAGCGTTTCAATAAAATATAATGCTAAATAAATACGAAATCTATTTAGGCCTACTACAAAATTCTTAAAGTTTCTATACTCTCTTTCACCTATTATTGCCGACAATTTCCTGTAAATGCCGTCTAAATGCTCATCTGCAACAAACCCTGCCTGCCGGTGAACACTCACACTGACACATAAATATAATAATATAGTCTATATATTTATATACTATATTTGCTGACATAGAAAAAGTCAAAGTCATGGCTTTCTTCCAGCGTAGTCTCCCCCATGACTGACCCATGCTGCAGCTTAGTATATTGTTCTCGAGCATCACCTGTACAAGCAACTAATGCTCATAGGGTCTATGTCCCCCAGGGTACTGCCGGAACGTACCCTGGGTACGGTCCGGTATACCGGAACGTACCCTGGTAACTATCTGATATGGTTAGGGTTAAGGTTAGGGTTAGGATTAGGGTTAGGGAGTAGGCGTAGGCGACTCCCTAGACTCGTTAGTGGAGTAGGCGAGGTACGGTCCGGCATATTAGATAGTACCAGCAGAGCATATAAATCACCTTAATTTATATGCTCTGGTACCAGGGTACATTCCAGCAGTACCCTGGGGGACATAGACCCTCTCAGCGCAACTAATACTAACTCTTGTGGGAGAACTAACGTCAGCTGTCACTTTCGCATCACCTTTACCAGAATCATGTCTGTAGACTTTTGTAGACTGTAGAATGTTCTCTACCAACACCTATAGACCATGAGACTAATACCAACTCTAACAGCTAGTGTGAGTTCTATTACCTCTTTCACATCACAACTCCTACTAGAATGGTAAAACATTCTCTCGCGAAACCTGTACATGCGACTACGTAATACCAACTTTGCAGGTAGCTATATAACAATTCTTCTATATCACCATAACTTCTACCAATCAGTGTGAGCATGTTGGTAGACATCACAATACAGGTATTAATAGGCATTTCACGTTACCCGTGTCTTATAGTACTAAACATGATACTGGTTGTGATAGATGGTGGGTAATATCACCCGTGACTTATAGTATTAGCCATGGTACAGCTCTTGATAGAGACTTTTCATGTCACCAGTGAATCTTGATGACATATTAGCTGTGATACGGCTGATGTTTTACACGTAGTAGTAGTCGTCATACACGTGGTGATGGACAGCTGCCGTTACCTGTCATATTTTTAGTATTCGTCTAGCTTCACAGATCTCTGTTCATGGTGACCTACACACACACGCACACACACACTGTGGGACGCACAGACACGCACACACGCACGCATGCACACACCCACCAACACGCATGCACACACGCACACACACCCACCAACACGCATGCACCCACGCACGCGCGCACGCACGCGCACACGCACACAGGTATCTATCTCTACTCACATTTGCCCTTCTGTCGTATGATCGAACAGTTCATGCTGCCCATCTCTAGGATCTCAAGCACGTCGTGCTGGTTGACTCCACACTTCTCAGCGAGCGCCATGCCCTCGGCTAGACCCGCGATCATCGTGCCCATGATCATGTTGATGACGACATTCATTCGCGTCGCATTGCCAACGTCGCCTGCAAGAGAGCGGTGTGTGAGCGCGCCGAGTTAGCACGGCGTGCGAGTGCGGTGTGTGAGTTTATCACGGTGAGTGAATGTGATGATCACACAGTGTGATGTTGACCGTGGTGAACGCTGTGAATGAATGTGGTGTTAATACGGCGTGTTGTTAAGTTGATTACGATGAGTGCGGTGATAACACGGTGTGAATGCGTGTTGATCACACAGTGAATAAGCTTATCTCGGTGTGTGAGTGAC